TGCATATAACACTGAATAATTAATGAATGTTGTATAGTATTACTGATAAAATCAATCAACGTTTGTATTTTTATTATTTTCCTCGGCGTGTTATAAAGATTCAATTAGGAATTATAAATGTTTTTGATTATAAAACATAAACACTTGAATAAAAGTGATATCCATATTAAACATAACATAACATCACGCCTTTTATCCCCGAAAAGGGTAAGCAGAGGTGCACATTAAGGCACTTAATGCCACTGTACAATGTAATATACACTTTTCACTATTTATGAGATAATTAGAACATTCTAGTAATAAGATTTATTCTTATTATCTTATTTACTTATTACGGACGCACAATAGCTATACGTGGACGTTCAATAGCTATATACGGACGCCCAATAGCTATATACGGACGTTCAATAGCTATATACGGACGCCCAATAGCTATATACGGACGTTCAACAGCAATATACTGACGTTTAACAGCTAGGTGATCTTACATGATACCTTTTTTTTGAGGGAGAAATACCAAAATTAAGTAAAAACGCGGGTTACTCACGTGAATATACTGAGAAAAGCTCTACTAGTTTCGAACCACAGAGGGGTTCTTCCTCATGAGCAGCGTGCGCGGTCGCGGCGACGTCGCGCAGCTCACTTAACCAAATAAGAGAAATATCATCCAATGTCTTCTCCCGCCGGCCGCCGGCGGCTGCGTGGGTGAGGCGAGAGGGAGTTTCCGACTCTTGCTGCCTAAAAATCACCCCGTTCCTACTCCTGCACTTCGAGCCCTGGTCACCCATTAAGTCCTCCGCGGCTCCGTATCGGCATAAGCCCTATCTGTGGTGGTCTGATGGCTCCTTGGGGCGTATGCGGAACGCGACGCGCCGTACGCACGGGTCTGGTTCTGATCGGGCGGCGAGTCATCCATGCTCGCCGACCGCAGGACCGTGCTTACGGTGGCCGGAGACGTTTCGTGATCCTCGATGCCCTCATGACGGCTGGAGCGTGAGAAGGCTCTTTCCCTCACGAGCTCCGCCTCCTCCTTAGCTAGCAGGACTGTTTCGCAGAAGGAGGAAACGGCATCCCAGTCTCCCTCGCTCCGTATCATGGTCTGAACCAGTATCGGACGCGAGAGGTCGTCGTCGCCGATTACATTCCTCAGGACACGGCGGTGTTCAGCCCATGCAGGGCACACTGCCACAGCATGCTCCACTGTGTACTCTGGGCGGCCCTCGCAATGATGACACCTGAGCGTTTCCTCCCACCCAATCCGAAACAGGAACCTACCGAAACTTTCGTATCCAGTAAGCACCTGCGTCAGGCGGTAGGTAAGGACGCCGTAGCGTCTTTGTCTTCGAGGCCTACCTGACCGGTAGATCTGTCATATACTCCGGTCACCGGGGCGAATGGAACCGGCGAGAGATGTCGCGCGGTGTTCCGCAGGGATCGGTTCTGGGGCCGCTCCTGTGGAACATTGGGTATGACTGGGTGCTGCGCTCCGACCTCCCGAGCGGCGTTAGCATGACATGCTACGCCGACGACACGCTGGTGCTAGCGCACGGGAGGTCGCACCAGGCGGCGGCCGACTTAATGGCGACAGCGGTTGCGACAGTCGTTGAGAGAATCCGGCAATTGGGATTCGAGGTGGCGCCCCACAAGTCCGAGGCCATGTGTTTTCATGGCCGCGGGAACGCGCCACCTCCAGGTGGGTCCCAAATAACGGCGGGAGGGGTTACCATCGGCGTCGAGACGGCGATGAAGTACCTAGGACTCGTCCTCGACAGCCTGTAGAACTTCGTGGAGCACTTCCGACGTTTGGCTCCAAAGTTGGAGAGGACGGGGGCTGCGTTCAAGCGCATCCTCCCCAACCTCGGGGGGCCAAACGCCTCCTGCCGGAGGTTATACACCGGGGTCGTGCGGTCCATGGCCCTTTACGGCGCCCCTGTGTGGGCGCTGAACTTGATGTGGCGGCCCGCTCGGGCGCTGCTCATGGCACAGAGGGTTATGGCGATCCGAATGATCCGCGGATACCGCACGATCTTCGGGGAGTCGGCGAACCTCCTTGCCGGATTACCGCCGTGGGATCTGGAGGCGAAGGTGCTCGCGCGCATGTATCACATGCGCGCGGAGGCACGTCGCCGGGGAGAAACTTCGCTGCCGCTCCAGATAAGTGCGTGGCGGGAAGAGCTCCGGCGCGATCTCATGGCGGAATGGCAGCAACGACTGTCGCAACCAAAGGCTGGGCTCGCTGCCATTGCAGCAGTACGGGAGGAAACGCCCGGATGTCATCACTGCGAGGACCGCCCTGAGGACACGGTGGAACACACTGTAGCGGAATGCCCTGCGTGGGCTAAGCACCGCTGTGCCCTTGGGAAGTGATCGGCGATGGCGACCTCCCGCGTCCGGGCCTAGTGCAGGCCATGATGCGGAGCTAGGGGAATTGGGATGCCGTCTCCTCCTTTTGCGAAGCAGTCATGCTAGCTAAGGAGGAGGCGGGACGCGTGAGGCAGCGAAGCGCTGCCTCCTCGCAACCCACCCATCGCGGAGGACACACCGGGCGTCGGGGATCGCGGGACGATCTCCGGCCACCGTAAGCGCGGGCCTGCGGACGGCGAGCATGGGTGGCTCCCCGTCCGACCAGAAACAGACCCGAGCGTACGGCGCGTCGCGTTCCGCGCGCGCCTCAAAGAGCCATCAGACCACCACAGATGTGGCCCAACAGGGCCGATGCAGATTCGGAGTCGCGGAGAACCTATGGGGTAACCTGGGCTCCGGCTCGACGTGCAGGAGAAGGAACGGGGTGGTTTTTAGTCAGTAAGAGTCTGACACTCCCTTTCGCCTCACCTAGGCGGGAGCAATCATTCGATGATTTTCCCCCCTTAAAAAAGAGAAAAAAGCGTCTCTGTCTCTCAAGCCACTCCTCAAATCTTACATGATACCTGCTGAGGAAGTACGTGGATGTTCAATAGCTATATGCGGACGCCCAATAGCTATATATGGACGTTCAATAGCTATATACGGACGCCCAATAGCAATATACGGACGTTCGATAGCTAGTTGATCTTACATGATACCTGCTGAGGAAGAAACATTCTTCGCGCGCATATCCTTCGTCAGCCTCCGCTAGAGACTCCTGCCATTACCATGTCAATTATCAGGATCCTCAAATTTTTTCATCTTATGTTACTCTATCTGATGTACCTACCAATTAAATTCAATTAATTCATCTTGCTCATTCCATCAATATTGATAGGTAGAATAATAATTATAAAGTGGGCACCTACTAGTAGATAACATTATTCTATCATTATCGGGCATTAGTAAATATATATTGATAGATTTAACGAATATTGGAATAATGTTGAAACTCTGTAGTACCAGACGAGTGACAAGAGAGAGTAAAAGAAAGAGACAAGTGAACCCAAAGCTGGCAACGTTGCACTCGCAAATACCATCCACGCTATGGGGACGTTAAGTAGCTGATACCATGGTTAAATCACGATCAATATATCTAGGACTCCAATTTGTTATCACCATTGTTTGGGGTTCAAAAATGTTGCAGCATGACTGCAAGAAGAATATCGTGAAAAATAAAGTTATCGGAAAATGACGTATCCTACAAAGCTGGAAATCGAATAACTAAGCAATATTCATCAAGACAAATAAAAAAAATTTACGGGAACTGGGGGACGTCGTAATGATGCGCGACGTGTGTGACGCCAAAATGATTCCAGGATGTAAATATATATATATATATAGATTATAAATCACACTTTTATAAAGTAATGTAAACTATTTATTAACAACTTAAACTTGAGTGACATTTTGACATAACATAACATCACGCCTTTTATCCCCGAAGGGGTAGGCAGAGGTGCACATTATGCCACTGTACAATGTAACACCCACTTTTCACTATTTATGTTATGAGTCCCATGTAATAGGGGGTGAGCCTATTGCCATATACCGGGCACAATTCCAGACTCCGTGCTACTACTGAGAATTTTTTAAAAAACCCAGTAATACTTTGCCCGACCCGGGAATCGAACCCGAGACCCCTTGCCCGGCAGTCGCACTTGCGACCACTCGGCCAACGAGGCAGTGACATTTTGAGTTGCACAAAATACCAGTAGCTTTGCAGAGGCACTTTTTGTTGCCACATTTGGTTTTGCAGTGGCATCTTTTATAGCCTTGACCACCAGAGTTCGATTGTGCATTGGCTATTTGGCGTAGTGATTTCTTTTCGGGTGCCATGTCAATATCTAAGAATGTTGTGTCACACACAGTGAACTGATTTCTTGAAAATAGTTCTGTTATAGTGCCGTATTTGTTTGCTAATTTTTATAACCCCTTGTCGTTACATTCAAGTACAACCATTAACACATTGGGAAAGTCGCCTCTACCTCTGTCCCCGTCAGGAATTTTTACTCGGAGTGTATCACCGACTTTACACGGGGGAAACTTTTCTTTTGATCAAGCCGTCATTTGTATAGCTTGTTTTACCAAACATTCCTGTGCGCCTCTCATGTTAGTGTCAATTTTTAGTTTCTTTTCACACAACTTTATTCTGATCACAGAGCCCACAATATGTCATTTCGATTTCTTTCTGACAATTTCCTGGTGTTAGTTGGTTGGAACATTCTCTTTTGTTGGCTAATTTTTTTAGTAGCTTCGTCACTCTCATCATCAACTAACTCTATAAGAATTTTGAAATTTTCTACTATTTTTGGCAGTTCAATCCAGCCATCCAAGTCATAAGTATTTTTTCAACCCGCGAGTGTCATAAGAGCCAACCGAAGGACTAAACATTTGACTGAGACCGGACAGCAACGCTCTATCATAATCCACAGTCCATGACAATCCACCTTTGAACTATGACGTTAAAGTTTCAATCTATCTCATAAGGTGTTGACTGCTCATAGAAAACTGTTGAAGGCAAATAGTGAACCCCATGGCGTTTAATCTGTTTCCGAGAATTGTATCATATTAAATCATGTAATAATTGTCCACAGATTCTCAAAGCGGCAAGCTCGAGCGCCAGAAATCATGAATGAAGTCAATTCATACCGTGATCCGTTAATGTACAACGAATGGCCTGTATACACTGCGATACCCAGAGCCGCCCCCAGGTAAGACGAAAACATGTACCTCCACCCTATAAAATAAATGTTGACTTTGAAAATGGAAAATATTTCTGTGAGATCTCGTTGTTTACTCCGCGCGAGGACGACAATAGGTGGATTTACCCTACTTTTCTAGATGTAAATGCGAAAAGCTTTGGATTTTGGTGTTGTATAGATCACTGTTATATTTATGATTGGGATTTCATTTTTATATGTAATTTTATTGTTACTGGTTGGAAATACATGTAAACTCAACTTGTAAACTTCATTGTGGGATAATCCTCTAACTTTTATACATTTTTAAACGATTGAGATGAAAGCCTGTCTACTTTCCTAATAGCGTGTGTAAGCATAAATAAACTCTATTCCTTTCCTCCCAAGGTTCAGATACCGGTTCCCGGCGCTACCCCGTGAAGAATTCGGCAGAGTCATAACTAAAGCACCAGCCAACGTCGTCCGCACTCCAGATTATGATGAGGTAATGCATCTTCTATCTTCTGGGAACTTCTACGTCATCATTATTAGTTTTCATTCATCCACTGCTGGATATAGGTTGTTGGGCAGAACAGCATTTTTAAAGGTTCCCCACACTAGGATTTTCTTTTGTATCGTGACTGCGTTTACGAACATACACATCAGACCCAGACCCGGAACAACAATTTGTAGATCACACAAAGGATTATTTCGTGCGGGAATCGAACCCACGACACGTTATACGGCAGCCAGTTACCTAGCTACCGCGCCAACCGTGCAGTTAATTCGTAGGTAGACCTAAAAGCCTTTGCCTACCGCGACCATGACGAGACAATTTCACAATTCAAGAGCACTTATAAGTAACAAGCGTTAGTAGCGAATTAGCGACGCCATCGCACTTATAATGAATGTGCGACAGCGTCGCAAGCAAGCATTGCAAAATGTCGTCGTGGGTAAGGGCGCTTTTTTTTTTGTAGGCGGGGGGAACCTTCAAAGGCCCCTAGCTTTTTGGGGCAAAAGACTAGGGAGTGTGGGATTTTTACCTCACTAAAACCTCCCCGGTGGCCACCATCCGCATTTGAAGGAGGCACCGGATCCTCTTAGTAGACCAACTCCGGAGCCCCCACAGTGCAACGCCTGTTACGGCACCTCCCTATGGAGACCTATGTGTCTCTCCTAGAGCTTCTCTGTGCACTGCACGGCGGCACGTGACCACTGTGCCGCCGTCATCATTGAGGTCATTAGGTGGGCGCCTAGATTCCCCACTCTATGCGGTGGGTAAGGGCCCTAGGTTAGTGGAATCTGATTACGATCAACAGTCCACTGGACTATAGGTCTCCCCTATATAAGATGGTTTGCCATAACATACACCTATAAGATCGCAGTTTAGAATATTGTGGTTTGTCAGAGCCCACCCCAAGTATAAATTCCCGAATATTGGTTCTAGTAGGTAGTGTGGCCAGCTTCTAATTTAATAGCTATTAATGCTATTATACTTTTTACCACATCACCAATTTTGGAATTCCGTCAGCCAAAATAACATAACATCACGCCTTTTATCCCCGAAGGGGTAGGCAGAGGTGCACATTATGCCACTGTACAATGTAACACCCACTTTTCACTATTTATGTTATGAGTCCCATGTAATAGGGAGTGAGCCTATTGCCATATACCGAGCACAATTCCAGACTCCGTGATACTACTGCCTGTACTACTGTCAGCCTAAATATCCTTAACAAATATTATAAATCGAAAAGTGAGTTTGTTTGTTTGTTTGTTCAGACTTCATTGCCGTAACTACTAGACCGATTGCTTTGAATTTTTGCAGACGTAAAGTTAGTAGTCTGGATTAAATAATAGGGTACATTTTATCCCGAAAAAATTTGATATTCCCGAGGGAAAACAAAAGTATTGGTTTAGATGGCGCTGTATGTATTGGTATATGTCACTTAGGCTACTTTTTATCCTTTTGTGACGCGAGCGAAGCCGCGGGGAAAAGCTAGAACTTAATAAATACATAAATGTCATTGGGAAAAACATATTTTCCTATAAGTACTTTCTTCACAATACTGTAAACTTTATGATATTTACCTACAGGCCTACTTGGCTACTTCCTTATTGTTTTTCCTCAAAAACTTCGTAAAAGTTCCAATCGTTCAAGTATTACCTACATTGTTACGAAGTTCGGAAAGAAATTAACAAAATTGTAACAAACTTGTGTTTTATTAAGAATCGTAATAGGTAACGTGACCGACCGAGTTGGTAAGCACAGTTATTAAAAACGTTTTTATTATTTAGCAATGATACTAGGTACTTTATGTAATTCAACACTTTTTTTTCTTTGGTATTTGGCTCTTTGTGAGCTGCCACTTGGACCCTTTAGAATTAATTCTGTCATATTATATTATGTCCTACTTTATTGTTCTATCCGTAGATGTAAAATAAAGGAGGGATAGAAAAGAATACCTATAATATGCATTTTGACTTTTATTCTGTACAAAATGCTGTCTATTTTTCCTTGTAATCGCGTAGGTGTTACAATGCGTCATAAAAATATGTAAGGTTCCTTCCTTTACAAAGGATCTTATAGGGTCTAATCATATGTGACAAGAAGTGTCAGTGCCCCTTTTCATCACCGAAGTTTTCATTTAGATAGGATTGTAGACTACCTACGTTCCTACATTAATATCTGTCTATACCTAAGAAATACGTGAAAATAACTCGTACATAGTAAAAATAATAACGACATCAAAATAAAATCTCGAAAAGAAAACAACTACAAAAATATTTTACTGCGCAAAAAAAAACAAAAGTTTTGTCTCTTACATTCTAAAAATAAAATTCAGAGAGAACGAAACGACAATTATTTTTAAATATACTTTTTTAGAACAACTTGTAACATGGCGCGTATACAGCCAATACAAGTTTCAATTTAACAAAAGAATGCGATACATCCAGCGTGACATGACACCTCAGGGTGGCGCTGCTTGGTAAGGAAATTACAAATTTGCCATATTTGTAAGTTTTAGTTCCTGATTTCACCGTGTGTCAGGTTAAGTTGGTTGCAAATCGCACAATGGTTTTACTGGCGACGAATTCATTCAAAGGCGCACAATAGGGGAAGCTTAAAACAATGGCGTGTATCAAAGACCTTCAGCTATTTGACAAAAGACTTTTTTCATTCATTTTGTTTTCCAATCTGTGTATTTTTGCTTCGTTATCGTAGTAAAAGGAACGTTTTTAGAACGTTGACGGTTGATAAAGATTTATTTTTAGATCGCTTGGGAATGAATGTTATTTGTAAAGTAATATTCGAGGCATTTAAATAGCAAGTAAATGATTTAGGTAATGCTTTTGCTTAAATTAAAATAATACGAGAATATTTTTTAGACATAATTTCTTCGATTAATTTGGTATATTCATAGATAATATAAAATTATCATAAATATAAAATTATCATAAATGCTTATTGCATTTACAAATATAAATTAAATAAAAATCACTGCAGTAAATAGTGATAATTTAATATCTATCAACTGCACGGCCTTGATAACTCGTTTCTATCAAACAACACATGTCTATGAGATTATACTTTGCCTCTAAAAAAATATACTACTCGACCAATGGGCCTTGCCGCTTCGAGTGACGTCACGCGGCATTGTGATACCACGTTGCAGAACGTTGAGGTTATTTTCGACATTATTATCAACTGGCCCTGTGGCGCAACGGATAACGCGTCTGACTACGGATCAGAAGATTCCAGGTTCGAATCCTGGCAGGGTCGCGTAATTCTTTTTGGTATTTATATATTTTATTTGTAATTTTGTTTCGAAAATAATAGAAGTATTCTAAAGTATTCCTCTTTGATGTAATAAAAGGTAATTGATTAATTAATTGTTGCCGTCTGAGAGTCAATTTGCAATAATTAATTTAATTTCCTTGTGATCTTAACTTGATTGGAGTAAAAAAGCATTTTCAGTAGAAATGGAGAACTTACACTTTCTTCTTTCATTTTTTATTGTTAGTTTAATATACTAGTTTAATCTTACAGAATAATAATTTTGCTTAAAATAAAATAAAATAAAAAATCTAGGCAGAATATAACATTACCTTTGCCGCCGCAGTCGGCCATTGTACACAGACTACACAGTAACCCTATTTCTACAAAATGCTTTAGCGCCTCATTGAGAATCGTCCCTGTTCCCTGTGACCTTTACAAAATGGCTGGTCATTACGAACAGTGGCTGCCCACGCTAAATACAGGCATTCATCTTAGACACTGGTTTATTTCGTTACATTTTCTAGGTATCTGTATTAAATTGTCGCTAGGTTTGCGTTTTTTTATTTTTATATAGAACAACGCCATCTGTTGGTGAGTAGTGTGAGTAATATTACGTTTACATGATGTTCACAATTATTTTTTAATTTTGTTTTTTTAGATATCACCACATTATAAATAAAAAAAATACGTTAAAATAGCTACAAATGCAAGTGATCTGTATATTCACATGATTATTAGGTATAGTTTTGTAGAGGTACATAAAATCATACTACAGATTAAATTTTACTTCGTAAACAAACACTCGGTTAGATTTAAAGTCATATTAGTATCGAATGTAAGGCATTTAATTAAATGATTAATTAGAATTTTTTTATTATTAAATACCTAGTACATAATTAAGTAACTACTCGATTTTTTCTAAGTATATTTGCAAAAGTACGTACCTACCATTTACGAAAGAGGTCAGAAGCCGCAGACGACTTTGATTCGTATTTTAATTAAAATCCAAGATTTTAACAACTTAATTAAGATTGGTAGTTACTGAGCCACTTGCACATAACATTAAAATTTTTTATAATATTGTAAGTGGCCAACTTTTGACATGAAATTCAATTTAAGTTATTTTTCATGACCGATTTTACATTTCAAGTTCAAAGAATTCATTTCTAATACTTAATTAAATACTTCATTTATTTGAATTGTTAGTCCATTGAAAATCATTTAGGATTTCAAGTTTCTGTGGGTACCTACCTACTCTTTAATAAGTCTAAACATCATCAGTCCTTGGGTAGTCCACCTGAGGCGGATTAAACCTAGTGAGCGTCCTAGACAAGCACCCCATGTCGCGGAGAACCTAACGGGTAACCGGGGCTCCGGCTCGACGTGCAGGAGAAGGAACGGGGTGGTTTTTAGTCAGTAAGAGTCTGACACTCCCTCCCGCCTCACCCAGGCAAGAGCAGTCATTCGATGATTTTCCCCCCTTAAAAAAAAAGCAAGCACCCCATCCCGAGCGTACGGCGCGTCGTGTTCAGCGCGCGCCTCAAAGAGCCATCAGACAACAACGAATGGGGCCCAATTGGGCTGATGCCAAAACGGAGCCGCAGGGAACATAGCAGGTTACTGGGGCTCCGGGTCGAAGTGCAGGAGCAGGAACGAGGTGGTTTTATAGTCAGTAAGAGTGGCACTACCTCCCGTATCACCCAGGCGGACGAAAGTTCGCATTCATCATTAGATGATTTTCCTTCTTAAAAAAGGCAAGCTCATCAAAGGCACCTCTAATTTTTGTTCGTACCAACTATCAGTTTGTCTAAAGATGGTTTTATGTTTAGCTGAGATGTCTTTTAACTCTTTCAGTCACACTTTTAACTGGTTACGAATATATTTATTGAATTATACTAAAATGCTTAAAAACCAATGCAAACAAATTTGAAGCATACTTCAAAAAATGATTTTTTTAAGTAAAGGTGGTTAGCTACAGTGACCACCAAGACTGAAAGAGTTAATCAACCCGCAGCTGTTCTGGTCTCGCACATCTCTAATTTACTTATGTCACCGTAATGGTAGCTAGGTACTAACTAATACTTAACTTGGGTACTTGATTTGGCTTCTTTGTTGTCACATCACAAATTACTTGCGCCCAAAATGTGAAAAATAAACTAGAAAACGGATCATCAAAAAACAAACGTCGTTTTGTCCAAAACAATGCACGCCATAAATTGAAAAAAAAAAATGCACCAAACACAATAATAATATATTTTCGGTAATGATTATAATAATTTGTCTTTTCATTGTAAGGACAAGAAAATTAGACAATACGTAAATAAGTAAATTTTGTTTCAGATGTTCGGCATGCTGAACGTACCCCATACATCGGGTAAGATCCTGCGATACCCTGGCCCGTCACGCCCTCGAGGACCTAACTTCATGGTACCGCCACAGCGAGACAGGTGGGAATACTATAATAATTATTATCATTCGATTATAACGACATTTGTTATACAGTCCAGTATTAACCCTTCATCAGAAATTCAAAAATGTTACGTGAAACAAGCAAATTTATTTCTGCAAATAGGCTACTACTTTTACACGTAAATTTTTCAAGCGAACGATTAGACCGACATTTTCTAACTGACTACTTTAAGAAGAAATACTGAAACAAACTCGTTATAAAAATGAAACCAGTTTTAGGACAACAAACTTTGGTTTCTTATAGATAATACACTTATAGACAGAGAGTTCTAATCAATAAGTTGGTCTCTTATTACATTGGAACCCTTATCATTTTCCAGTAGTTAGTGCATAGATTATGCACCAGTTATTTATGAACAGAACAGATTAAACATGAACATCAAATTTTACATCTAACTAGGTTAGGTACCGTCTTCAAATTAAAGGTCAAAGCAATAAAATTATTACTAAGTGCCTAAAATTGATTTACCTTTCCAATTAAGTATGGAAGTCTGTCCCTTACTTACTAATTAAATCGAGCCCAAGGGGACTTGTCAAAGAAAGCTCGTTAAAAATAATTTTATAAGTAAGTACCTAAGTACTCAGGGCGAAGGAATCCGATAAATATCAATTATAAGGATTTTTGAGACACTATGTTACACGATGAATGAAAAATGGCACAATATTTTTTTTATCATTATTATTGGCAACATTTTGTGCGAAAAAAGAAATCTATTATTTGTAGTCTGTGGTATGGCGCGAAATATTTACGTTTCAATTCAGAATGTGATATTTTTTTCTTGCACACCATTTTATTTTTTATTTCTATAACAGACAACACCTATTTGTTTTGAGACTATTTAAAAAAATATTACCTAAAGGAAGATGCACTCAAATCTTCGCAACAAACTTTTTATAATTATAAGAAATATAACTAAAAAAAATATAGTAAGAGATAATTTGTAACCGGTATCTGTATTTTGTGTTCATTAGGTTTGAAGCTCTGAAGAAAATGATTCGTCAGGAACATGTACTTGAGCTGCAAAGAAAATATGAAGCTGAACAAAAGCAAGAACTCAAGGACCTAACTTCTGGACGAGGGTGAGCCTAAATACAGTCTATTACTGATAGGTTTACTATTGATTTATTCTATACCAAACAATATATACTGTCTTTGAAGTTTTAAATGATACGTACATTTTAAATAATATGCCAGAAATTTCGAAATCCGAGTTGTTCTGTATACCCTTTTTGTATGTAACTGTTATGTAAATTTACAGCAACTCAATGTCTAGGTCAAAGTAAGAAAACTTTACTTTTTTAAGAAAAAATAAACAAATAATTGGCAACAACCAACTTCTTGAAACTAACAAACTTCGTGAACCTTATAAATTAAAAAGTAAAACAAATCAAAACAATTTCGTCACGAACCGAAACTTTCTGAATTACAATGAACAATATAAACGATAATTTTGAATTTCGAAACTTACCGATTACTCAATTCTATGTTGCCAAACTACTTCGAAAAATTACCTCACACTCAAAACGTGTTGGGAGAATTTCCCGGCTGTTGCGCGGCTGAAGCCGTACTTTTTAACATAACAAAACGCGACTCACAAATTGTTAAGCGAAAGGAAATCTTTTAAAACGTCTGGGCGTGTTCATGTTAATCCGACCCGGCCGAGGCATTATTGCGAGATTTTTTGCCAAAATTAAAAGTGCTCGCAAAAGGAAATGTAATCCTCAGTATCTAAATGTTACGTCTGTGATTTCCCCTCGCTTTCATGTTCCGTTGATTATTAAATATGTCACGGCATCGTCTCAAAACGATGTGTCATTATTTCGGCGAGATTGCTTTCGCGTGGCGTCTTTGTTTTCGTTTTTAATTTAAATGTTCATTCGAATGAAATGAACGTGTTATTGGAGGCGATTGAAGGATTTGTACAAATGGTATTTGTTATGTAAATTAGGTCTTGTGGCCTAATTAAGTAAATGTTTTAGAATAGGGCCTGGATAAGACGTTATTATTGATTAAATATAATCCATATCTTTGCGTTTAAACCTTAGTTCTATTTTATGAAGCTGTTCCTAGAGATTAGGGTCAGCATTGAGGCTTTAATCAGATTGAGCTGAAACTGAAAGTTAGTAGTTTACAGACAAAGATATCAGATCTCCACTACCCTTTAATATCATAAACTATAGTAATAGGATACTTTATCGTATTATATCTTTAGACTAATGAAATTTTGAATAGGGTACCTACAGGTCGAACTAGGTGTTTCAGGAGAAATTTACTTATTTAATTATTTTTTGACAGTGATGACTACGTGTACGGATCATATGGTGAACAGGAGCCCCGAGGCTTGCAGCCACTGCAGATGGAGTACCCTGCCGATGAACCAACTTCTAGGCACAGCAAGTAAGTTTATATTCTCCGTACATTGACATAAAGTAGATATTCCCGGTTCACTGTTTGCAAATCTCAAAATAGAATTCTTTGTTCATTTGACAAAACTTATAATTACTGAAAATACAATATTTTGACTAATTATAAAGTAAGACGTAATAAAGGCTGACATTTAAGTAGTTGTAGGTTTCCCTAACACAAAGAGAAAGGAATTCGTTTTTAAGTAGATATTGTGTATCAAAGCGGATAAAGAATTTTCTAATAAGAACTTGCTTGAATGCTTTTTTAAATAGAAATACTTTATAAATGTCAAGGTTGGAGTTTAAAATGTGTGATGTTTGTTTGTAGGAAGCCACCGGCTGGTAGTCGCCAGATCTCGCAGTTCTCGCGCTACTCCGACGTGATACTGCCACCGGCCCGCCGCGCTATCTACCACCCCTACTTAGAGTACGCAGCCCCCGAATTCGTCCCCTACTACTGAACACTCTCCGGGCACTCGGACCCACAGGACGAACCAACGTTCTAGAACATTCTACTGCAGGGATTATCTCCCTTATTGTACAAAACACTTTATGGGCTTTAAATCCAAGTATCAGTATTAAAATGTCATATCGAAAGCATATCTTTAACGCTTTCGCTTAGACGACCCTCGTCACTTAAGATGCGAGCTTTCTCTGCATTATCTTTCAATATTTTTATATTTATAAACCGAAGTTTTTCGATGTAGATATGCGATCTCTGAATTTTAATATACCCCTTTTGAATAATCGCATTGTATTTTTCGATAGGTTTAAGGATTTAGGAGGATTTCTTCTTGGAATGTTCGAGTCCCTCGGTCGAACGGACATGATAATGTTATACGGTACTTCCGATATTGACAATAAATACATTATATATACGATTCGAGCAATTATCTTATTGCCGTCAATTCCATATAAGTAAATCGTGACAATAAAATGTTTAAAAAAGTAATCTGACAATAATCTGTATGGATGTTTACAATTTGATGTTTAGTAGAGTTATAAGCGTGACAAGGAAATATTCCATTTATATATTTAGGATCTTAATAATCGAATATGATTATATAACTTGGTGGCTAGCCAGTTGGAAGTTATTATCTGCTTTTCGCTTCGATTCGACTTTATTGAAATTTTGATCGCAACATTTATTAAATAACAAAGAATATTCGCGTATTTCTTTCTTAATGAAAAAAGTTTTTATTAATATTATGAGGTACAGTCCGAGCCCGACGACCTCAAGAGAATCGAAGCGGAAAATATTCTTCTAGCTTCGTCCTTCAAAGGAATAGTTTTACTACCCTTCACTTGCTCATACTCTGTACTCTATGTGTTAGAACAATACATTATTGGTAATCAGTATTATTACTTTTATATTTGTATTATTTTAGCAGTTGACTGCCATATGATGGACATTTTCTGCTATTTAAGTTTAATTTCTGTTTAAGTATTTGAGAGCTAATACATAGTAACAATGAAGATACTTAATCTTGTGACCTATATATGTTTTCTCCAAAATAGTTGATAATTGTTGTGATTAGTCGCTAAGTATATGGTTACCATGTATTATATATCAAAAGCCTTCAAGACGGCTAGGTGGGCTTCGGCTGTGCGAGCAGACAATACTACGTTATACTTCGAGTGATACGAATGGTAGCGCAACCGAGTCCCGGCAGAAAAATGCTTTAACTACATTTAAATGTTTCATGTTTATTGTAATACATAGTTAATTGTAAATTAGTAATGCGCCGCTCGCGGCTTATTTAATATTTGTGTACTAATGGATCTTAATGTAGGAACGAAGCAGCCGCGGATCGATGGCCCGAGCACCTTCTGTTCAATGAGTACACCACCCATGGTCTCCACTATATCCCACGTGAAGAACAACTTGTCTACAAACCTTTGCAGATATCCTTACTGTGTAAATTATTCGGAATCGCACTGAAAGTGAAGGCTGTAATTCTAAGGAAGTTGTTACCTATTTGTGTACTATATATATTATTATATCTAATCAACTATCGACATATAAGTATCGACAATGAGTCGACATAAACTCACAGACTATAAAATTTGGCTTTAAAATTATATTACACGTCATATATTGTGGCTTTAAGAAGTCAATGAATTCATTAATCTTCTATGTATTACGTGGCCCGTCTTACGACGGCCTGTATCCTACATGTTACGATTTAGCGAGATATCTATACATATTTTTATTTATATTATATATAATTTTCTAACAATATTCTGTAGAATTTTACAAATTATTTTATTGTCTTTTAAAGTCATTGATAGTTAGGTAGTTAGTCGATAAATACATTGAGTAGTGTTTATTGGATGCGTATTAAAATAGGTGTTTAACTAAAGGAAAAAATATTTGGAAATATTTCAATAACTAAATGTAGATTCTTCACAATAACATATCGTTGCGATTGCGTCGCAAACGTCACTAACACATATGATCTAGCCATATCAATGGACAAAAAATGTAATTCTAGTGAATTATCGAATGCATACAACCCAATATCAATAAAGATTTAAATACCCTTGAATCGGGGAGAAATCTTTATTGTGGCAACACTGGCGCTCCGTTCGGAAACTCGTACGAAATGGCAAAAAAATATGAAAGTAACTATTCTTCAATTATCTAGTCAATTTACGTAGATTGTGCATTCGATATTTCAAGATATAATGTATGAATGACTATGACAATATTTAACATAGTGTCACTTACCTATCGATAGTCGCAGCGCGGTCTTGCACAGACAATAAATATGTAATTTGGACAATAATTCGCGTTGCATGTACTATGAAGTATATAGTTGTAATAATATTATATTATATCGAGGCCGCGCCTGTCCGTACGTAGGTATACAATTTAACCTATCCATTAATAAATTAATGTTTTAAAATGTATATTAATTGGTGGTTTTTTTGAGAAATAAAGATAGTTACATACTCCTGAGCATAATTGTCTGATTATTTTTCATTCACCTTACCCCATATTTACCTTATTACCTATAATTTAAGAATAACATTACACCTTTAATATGGCCTGAACGGCAAACCATTCAGCACATATTCATACCTATAATATTAATTATTAAATGTAACACACATATACCTACCTACTTTTCATCAATTACAAGAATTTTCGAAAATCCGAAAATCGAGACCCCTTACTCAATAGTCGTGGTTACAGCCGGCCGAATGGCAATAATTTATGGCATCGATCGATAAATCGATTATCAAATGGCAGTATGATGCTCCTCAGTCGCACTTACAATTAGTCGACCAACGAGGAATTTTTCTCTATTTGAAGGCATATGCGTCAATATTAAAATACAAAATAACTCAAAAACTGAACGACTTAGCCAACAAATTATTATTGTTACTTTTTATTTCTTGTATTTGATTACCTAATTAGTTTGTTTTTAAGTACCTAAATAATAGCATTTATATAGGATTAACAGTATAACTTAATGGCGTAACCTGTGGTGTTGTATATGTACATTTTCTAATAAATAAATAAATAAACAAAACACCCAGTAATCTGGAAAGACAGATTTTCTAATTGATGGACAGGGTGGGGATGATCTGTGGGGAGTGGGCCCATTTACCAACCTTTTAGACATCGACAGTAATATGCATGTTAGGTTAGAAATATTCCAATAACATTTTACGACCAAAGAATCAACTAACTAGTAGACCAAGGATTCTAAATCTAAATAAAATGAACCTTTTTCACATTTTATTTAAAAATATCCTTTAACCCAACGTGTGTCTAAACGTGAATCCACGCGAGACACAATGTATTTTTAATTAAAGATCATTTTAGATAAAAACATAAAATAACATCACGCCTTTTATGCCCGAAGGGGTAGGCAGAGGTGCAAATTATCTACGGCATTTTAATGCCGCTGTTTAATGTAACACCCACTTTTCACTATTTATGTTATGAGTCCCATGTAATAGGGGGTGTGCCTATTGCCATATACCGGGCACAATTCCACACCCCTTGCACCCCTTACACTGAGAATTTTTTAAAACCCAGTATTACTTTGCCCCACCCTGAAATCGAACCCGCGACCTCTTGCCCAGCAGTCGCACTTGCGACCACTCGGCCAACGAGGCAGTCTTGACCGTAAGATAAAAAAATATTTTCGAACACCGAACACATTATTTTCAATCAGTGTTGGGTGCTCATTGTGCCCAGCTTTATGCTGAGTTGGTGACCCGTTCGGATTAGACATGTCCGCCAACACCGCGCACCTGAATTATTGGCTTATTTTAGTTTTAGTTTTATAATTTAACTTTTATCTTTTAATTTTTCTACTAATACATTTGTCAATATCCTTCACTACCAGGAGTACCAGGACTCTCACTGCGAATGATGATGATGAAGATGCTCTTTGATAAACCCTTTATCCAACCAGCTGACCAAGCGGAGTCCATAGTCCAGCAGAGGACTTTTGATTAAGGGGAAAATCATCGAATGACTGCTCCCGCCTGGGTGAGGCGGGAGGGAGTGTCAGACTCTTACTGACAAAATATCCACCCCGTTCCTACTCCTGCACTTCGAGCCGGAGCCCCGGTAACCCGTTAAGGTCTCCGCGGCTCCGTATCGGCATCAACCCTAATGGGTCTTATCCGTGGTGGAGTAGAGGACTGCTGCGAGCTTTTGACGCGTAGGTATTCACATTCAGAAATGACATTTCGTAGGTACTACAAAGCATGTGATTTCAATCTGAATTTAGAACAAACTAGTGGCAAGTTTTCATAGGACGATGAGGACACCCTATATCCTAATTCCTGAGTTAGTTTATAATCACTTTGGTATTTACGTAATATGTATTAGGAGTACGTAATTAAACTGACCGTTATGGAAATGTGTGGGCGTTTGGGTAGGAAATTGATTTTGAAATGTCTTGAACTAATTTATTTAAGTAGCACCCACTGGTTAGGAGGTTGTATATAGGTAGGTAAGTATTTTGATTTAAAGCTACCTATATCTAGGGTTCTAGATCCGCTAAGGAGAAAGCGGGGCGCGTGAGGGAACGAAGCTCACGCCCCAACCGTCGCAAGAGACACTCTGGGTATCGGGGATCGCGAGGCGAACTACTACGGGCCTACGGACGGCGAGCATGGGTAGCTCGCCGCTTGACCAGAGGCCTTAGTACGGGTTTGTTTTACGTTTAAAGTAATCGAAACGAGTACATGTTCGGCGCTCTGATTGGCCGGCGCCAATGAACTAACCAATCGGAGCGGCGAAGATAGTCTCGTTTCGATTACTTTTAACGTAAAACAAACCCTTACTAAAGCCTCTGGTCAGGCGGCGAGCTACCCATGCTCGCCGTCCGCAGGCCCGTGCTTACGGTGGCGCGGAGGACTTAACGGGTAACCGGGGCTCCGGCTCGACGTGCAGGAGAAGGAACGGGGTGGTTTTTAGTCAGATATAGTCTGA